TACTATCTCCCTATGGCCCCAGGCCACTTCCCACCCTTAATCCTATCTAAGCTCCATTCTCCCTTGGCCACAAGGTCCAGGTCCCAGGTCCTATTACCTCATAGACAAATTGGCCACTCCTAGATCCCTCCCATGGTCTTTCTGTGTATATAAGGTCCATCTTGTCTCCATTAAGATGCTTAGATTCTTAAAATCTAGTTACTGCTCAGATTCTTATAATCTAGCTAATAGCTTGCTAATGTTCAGACTCCTTAAGAGTTTGTCCAATATGACTGATGTTCTAATAAACCTTGTCTTTGGCTAAAAGAAGGCTTGGGTCAAATTCTTTCAGGTAGGCTCTGCGGATTGTGATTTTGGGGTCCCAGCACCCCTAAACCTCAACATATTGACCAAAATTTCTATGTGTTTCAATTGTTTGTCTTTACAAAATTGTTGCTATCAATCAATCAATATTTTGTGTGTGTGTGTGTGTGTGTGTGTGTGTGTAAAAAAAAGAATGAGTCACACTTCCAAAGCTCCTCAAGGTTAACATAACTTTTCTCATATGAACCCTGTGATGTAGGCCCTATTATCCCCATTTTACACATGAAGAAACAGAGTCCTGAGGAGGTTAAATATCTCACTACAAGTCTCATAGCTAATAAGTCTAGAGGCAAGAATGAAAAGTAGGTGTCCTCTAGTCTAGCCTTCTTTCCAGTGTGTTATGCAGTTCTCCCTTCCACATCTCTACTTTCCCCATTACTCTACAACCATTCCCCCTAGTCAACAGCTCATTGTGGATTAGCAGAAGGAATTAAATGGAAATTTGAAAGGAGCTTTGCAGAAGCCACAAATGACACATGAAGGCCAGCAGCAGATGATACAGAAAAAGTTTAGAAACTCAGATATGCATAAAATATACATATAGTATTGCATAATATCAACATATTTTGTCTTTTAATATCATAATAATTCAGATTACTTCTCTGATATGAATGAAGGCCAAAAAATTTTACATGGATTTTCCAGATCATGAGGGCACTGTGCCCCTAACTTGCATGACGTGGAAGGGATAACTGTACTTACCTTCTATTCTCTTCTGTGCTGGCATCTGGGCCCTGGTCCCTTCTTTAGGTAATATGATACAGTAGATAGGGCACTAGACTAGCAGTCAGAAAAACCTAAGTTTGAATCATACCTCAGACATTTACTCACTATGTGACACTTGATAAGTCACTTAATCTCTCTGGGCCTCAGTTTCTTCATCTGTAAAATGAGAGTAATACTAGCATCTATCTCAGAGATTATTTTATAATATTTAAAGTGTTTTATAAACCTTGAAATATACTATAAAGGTTAGCTATAGCCAACAGGCTACTTATTAGAGGCATATAATAGACCCTCCCCTCTGTCCCTCCCCAGCAAATTCAGCTTCTTTTCTTATTCCAAGTTTGTAGTTCTTATTGAACAATCCACACAGTTCCTGCTCATGGCTCATTTCAGATCTGCCAATGAACAACAGAGAAGTCATGCATACAATTCATGCATACAAGGACTTAATTAATCAAGTCCAAGCTTGAAGCATATATTAAATAGAAACCAAAGGTATGAAGACCCAATGTCCCATGGACTGATCCATACTTTGTGTTTCCTTGTTCTTCCTGGTTTTCTTCTATCCTGTTATGGCATCATACATTTTAATATCCTGCCTTAAACATAGTAGACACTCAATAAACATTTGTTGAAGAAATGAAAGAATTAATCAGTCTGTTAGCAAATGAATCAATGAATTGTCCATAATGAATTCTTTGGTTTGCACCAATGCCTTCAAGCCACTAGGAAGAGGGTGATCTATTAAAAAAGTGCTTTTCAATTTGGAACTATGCTCAAAGGACCATAAAACTGTGCACACCCTTTGATCCAGCAATACCACCACTAGGTCTGTGTCTCAAAGACATCATAAAAAAAGGAAAAGACCCACATATACAAAAATATTTATAGCAGCTCTTTCTGTGGTGGCAAAAAATTGGAAACTGAGGGGATGATCACCAACTGGGGAATGGCTGAACAAGTTGCAGTATATGAATGTAATGGCATACCATTTTACTATACGAAACGGTGAGCAAGTAGATTTCAGAATAACCTAGAAAGACTTACATGAACTGATACTGAGTTAAGTGAGCAGAACCAGGAGAATATTGTACACAGTAATAGCAACATTGTGAGATGATAAACTATGATAGACTTAGCTCTTCTCAGCAATACAATGATCTAAAACAATTCTAAAAGACTCATGATGGAAAGTGTTATTCATATCCAGAGAAAGAACCGTGGAGTCTGAATGCAGATCAAAACATATTATTTTCTTTTTTTTTTTGGCTAGGCAATGGGGTTAAGTGACTTGCCCAGGGTCACACAGCTAGTAAGTGTTATATGTCTGAGGGCAGATTTGAACTCAGGTCTTCCTGAATCCAGGACCAGTGCTCTGTCCACTCCGCCACCTAGCTGCCCCAAAACATATTATTTTCACCTTTTGTTTTTGTGTTTTCTTTCTCGTGGTTTTCCCCTTATTTTCTGATTCTTCTTTCATAACATGAATAATGTGGAAATGTTATTAATATGATTGTACATGTATGACCTATATCAGATTGCTTGCTATCTTGGGGAAAGGGAAGCGATAGAGGAAGGGAGGGAGAAAAAATAATTGGAATTCAAAATCTTATGAAAGTGAACATTGAAAACTATCTTTACATGTAACTGGAAAAAAATAAAAAAAGTTCTTAAATTTAAGTGAGTGCTTCAATATAATATTTCTTGGGCCATTTCTTCCTATTATTATTTCATATGGTGCAATCTACTTTTGTCCCTTGATCAGGGTTATTACTATATCCTTCCTTTGGGATTCCCTCTTTTGCAGAATCCAGTTTGCCTACCTAGCAATTGTTAACTGTACACAATCATAGAAGGACCTTAGAGATCATCTAGTCCAACCTATAGTATTATAGAATTCAAAATTTTGAAATGAAACTCAAAGTTCATCTATTCCAACATGCTCTACTCCCCCTCCCTAATCCAATATAGAAATCCTCAAACTAAAATCCATGATTAGTGGTCACTTAGACTATATGAATATGTCTAGCAGTGGAGGAGAGCTCACTATCTAACTCCATTTCAATTGTTTGACAGCTAGCATTGTTAGCCAAATTCTTCCTTATTTTGAGCCCAAAACTGTGTCTATAGTTTCCACCAATTAATTTTGTTCTATCATCTGGCAGAATAAGTGTAAGACCTCTTACAAATTAGAGGCCTTTGATATTCAGAGTTATCAAATATCTCTCTCCCCTATCATACCAATCTTTTATTTTCCAGGATATATACCCCCAGATCTTTTAATTATTTTTTGCATTGGCTATAAGTTTTACCATCATAGAAGCTATGCTCTTGATTCACTCAAGCTTTTCAATTTCATTTTAAAATAGGGTAACCACAACTAGACATGGTATGTCAGATATGGGCTTGTGCTAGCTAGTGGCAGAGTGGATAGAGTGGCAGGCCTAGAGTCAGGAAGACCTATCTTCATGAGTTTGAAACTAGCCTCAGATACTTGCTAGTCACATGACCCTGGGCAAGTCACTTAACCCTGTTTGCCCCAGTTTCTCATCTTTAAAATGAGTTGGAGAAGGACTCAATAACAACAACAAAAAGCAAAGTACAATGGGATGAAAAATCTCCCTTATTCTAAGTATTTCTAACAATGCAGTCAATCAATGGTTGGGAATGGAGTACAGGAGTAGGGGTTGGGGCGGGGGTGGATGCAGAAAGCAGCAGCATCATACTTCCCATTCAATATGAGACAAACCTCCAACATCTTTTCTTTCTGTGCTATTAATCCAGGTTTTCATCAGGTGACCTGAACTTCAAAGAACCAAACAATCTCTGAGTTGGGATGGACTTCAGATCACCTAAGCTAACCTCTTCTTGAACAAGGCTTCTTTTACAATATACTTGACAAAGTATGTTGGTTGTCTAGCCTCTGAGGGAAAATCTCCAGCGAAAGGGAAACCTCTATCAATCAAGACAGCCCATACCACTTTTGACTTTCTATCAAAATGTTAGTAAGCTTTTGCTTACATTGACTGAAATCTGCCTCTCTGGAGCTGCCACTTGCTGATATTAGTTTTGTCTTCTGGGAGCAAGCAGCCTAACAAAATCTGATCTGTCTTTCATATGTCCATATGTTAACAAGAAGAAATATCATATCACTTCTAATTCTAGTCTTTTCTGGGCTAACCGGTAGCTCCTAAAAGAGGTCTTCATCAAGACAGTAAGGTGGTAGAGTGGAAAGAACACTGAACTTGAAGTCAGAAGAGCCTGAGTTCAAATCTTAGCTCAGATTAGTTATATGGCTCCAGACAAATCATTTATTCTCTTTCAGCCTCAATTTCCTCATTTGTAAAATGTGATAGTATTTACCTCCCAGAACTGTTGTGAAGATCAAATGAGATAATATATGTAAAATACTTTGTAAACCTTAAAGCATTTTACAAATGTGAGTTATTGTTATTCTCATCATTAGTATATGGCATATTCTCCAATTCTCTCACCTTCTTCTGGAAGGTATTTAGTTTATTAGGATTAACACCTCTTGCCAAGTTCTTTTTAGGGATCCTCATCTGACTTTGGTGTCTACCTTCACCCAACTCTGACATGTGGCTCCAAGAAGCTGTAGCATGTGCAATAGCCACACTCTAGTAAAACCGTCTTGGCAGACATACAGACAAGTAGACAGGGGGATATCTACCTCAAGTACGTGAAGACTCCCCCCCACCCCACTTCTTTGTGAAATGGGCAGGTTAGAACAATTTGTTCCAATGGTGATGAAGGTGGCTACAGCAGGCCTTGTGGAGTGCTTAGAGTTTGGTCAGACATCCAAGGTCACCCACTGCATCCTGGGCCATTGCCAGTCATCTTGACTTTTTTCCTACCACTGGACTTTGATGATTCCGAAGGAGAAAGTGAGGCTGACAACTTTGTGCAACTCTGCTTCACTCAAATCCAATTCATGTATGAGTCATCATCCATGATGTCACCGTCCTCTTCAAAACTAAGGACGAACAACAAAGTAACAAGTTTGTTAATGACTTTTTTAAGGTTTGACACTCAGAACTGAACACAGTATTCCTTCTTGAGAATATTGAGTCCTACATTCCTTAGATATCTCAAATTCATTGTGTCCCAACCAGAACTCATTATCTTTCCTTCCAAATTTCTCTGGTTTTCTCTGTCCTCCTAGTTATGCTTGGCTCTTTCCTTACTTTCTCATACCTGCCCCATATCCAATCAGTTGCCAAGTCTTCTCAATTCTACCTTCACATCACTCACATCCATCTCCTTCTTTCCACTCACCCAGCCATCATATTTGTTCACAATTTCCTCTCTTGGAGTATTCCAATAGCCTCCTAAATGATCTCACTTCTCCCCATCTTGTTCCTCCACACAGTTCTAAAAATCATCTTCCATGCACAAGACATGACTATGTGATTTCCTTGTTTGCAAATATCCAGTGTCTCTTAAAGATAGGAGTTCCTTATTTCCCAAAGGGCTATAAAATTGTGCATACCTTTTGGTCCAGCAATACCACTGCTAGGTCTATATCACAAAGAGATTTTTTAAAAAGGAAAATAACCTATTCACACAAAAATATTTATAGAAGCTATTTTGTAGTAGCTAAGAATTTGAAATTGAGGGAGTGACCATCAATTGGGAAAATGACTGAACAAGTTGTGGTATATGATTGTAATGGAATATTATTGTGCTGTAAGAAATGACAAGCAAGATGATTTCAGAAAAAACTGGAAAGACTTATGTGAACTGATGCAAAATGAAGTGAGAAGAACCAGGAAAACATTGTACACAGTAACAGCAATATTGTACAATGATCAACTGTGAATGACAACTGTTCTCAGGAATACAATGATCCAAGACAATTCCAAAAGACTCATGATGAAAAATGATATCCAATTCCAGAGAAAGAAACAATATTGTCAGAATACAGATTGAAGCATTTACTCTTTCTTTCTTCCATCCTTCCTTCCTTTGTTTCTTCCTTCCTTTCTTTCTTTTTGGGTCTTCTTGTAGAAAATGACTAACACGGAAATATTTTGCATGACTGCACATGTATAACCTATATTAGATTGCTTACTGTCTCAGGGAGGGGGTAGGGGAAGGAGAGAGGGATAGAATTTGGAACTCAAAACTTTAACAAGAAAACAACAAATGTTAAAAATTGATTTTTTACAAGTAATTAGGGGAAAATAAATTATTATTTTAAAAGAGGCAGTAGTTCTTAATCTTTTTGTATGTTATGGACCCCTTGGACAGTGTGGCAAAGTCTCTGGACAACTTCTTAAAAAATGTTTTTAAAGAGATAAAATAAAACACACAAGACTACAAAGGGAACCAGTTATGTTGAAACAAGAATATAAGTTTTTTTCCCCATTCAAGTTCACAGAATCTTTAAAATCTACCCACAAACTCCCAGGCTGAGAACTCTAGGAAAAGTATAAACATCACAGCTAGACATTTAAAGTCCTTAGCAATATGGCTCCAGCCTACCTTCCCAAACTTATTTAACATTACTCCCATTCATACATTCTGCTCTAGCCAAACTGGCTTACTTGTGCTTCTTTGAAGTTAATATTCTAACTCCTTCCCTCCTCTCCCTTTTACGCAGTTGTTTCTGATAGGTAAAATGCACTCCTATTCACTTATACATTTTACAATTCTTAACTTCCTAATTCATCTCACCTCCCTGATATCACTGTCTTCTGCAAGAACAAAGGACAATCAACAACAAGCTCCCGATTCATTTCATGTTCCAGCTCTTATGGGAAACCTTTTTTGGCTCCCCTATTTGTTAGTGGATTCTTTAACAGTAAACTATCTTTTATTTATTTTCTTGTGTGTATATGTTGCCTCTCCCTTCCCTGCCCCCCAGTAGAATGTAAACTGCTTGAGGTCAGAGGTTTTTGTTTAATCCCCACAGTTCAGCCAGTGCTGATGTTTGATGAATAGAATTAATCTGAATTTATTCCTTTTATGTTTCATCTTGGTCCATCATACTAACCTGTTGATATATTTTTGAACTCTGATTCTGTCATCTGATGTATTGGCTATTCTTTTCCAGCTTTGTGTCATTTGTAGATTTGATATTCATGCCTTCTATGCCTTTATCCAAGTCATTCATGAAAATTTTGAATAGGACAAGGTTGGCCCTGTGCTAGGATGGCACATTACAAGGTACTGCCATCCAGGCTATTAATCTTTATATATAAAACCATCAGTGGGCTGCCAGCTTATATCTGATGCATACTCACTCTCCTTTCCCATCAGTGTGAAGATGAGGTACAAAGAGAAGCTTACTTTTGAAATCTAACAAAATAGCATCATAGTGTGGAGCTGCAAAGAATCTTAAAGATTGTTTCATGAAGGGGTTCAGAATCTTTTCTGTGTTATGGCCCCCTTTGTATGTCTGATGAAGCCTATAGACCCCTCCTCAGAATTATGTCTCTGTCTCTGCCTTTCATTTCTCTCTGTTTCTTCTCTTTCTCTCTGTCCCTCTCCATCTCTTTCTATGTCTCTTGTCTCTGTATGCTTCCTCTTCTTCTTCTTCCCCTTCTCCATCCCATTTTCCCATTTCCTTCCCTTCTCCTTTCTCCTCCTTCTCCTTCTCCTTCTCCTTCTCCTTCTCCTTCTCCTTCTTCTTCTTCTTCTTCTTCTCTCTTCTTCTTCTTCTTCTTCTTCTTCTTCTTCTTCTTCTTCTTCTTCATCCTGGTTCTAAATCTTACTATTTGAGTGACCTTGGACAAGTTATTAAACCCCTTTATGTCTCAAATTCCTCATTTACAAAATGATGGGATTAAACTAGATGACTCCTACGTTATTTTTTAGGGCAAAATCTATGGTTCTATGACATGTCAGGGAAGCTCGGTAGTGCAAAGGACAGAGTACTGGGCCTAGAGACCGGAAGATTCATCTACCTGAGTTCAAATCTGGCCTCAGACACACACTAGGGTGACCCTGGGCAAATCACTTAACCTCAGCTCCTCATCTATAGAATGAGCTGGAGAAGGAAATGGAAAACCACTCCCATATCTTTGTCAAGAAAACCCCAACTGTGGTCACAAAGAGTTAGATATGACTGAAACAACTGAACAACAGCAGTGTGACCTGTTACCTCTAACCCCTGAAAGCACAGACCCTCCAAAATCTGCAGATTTATTAAATCCTTCAGGATAATTGGTTCTATCACTGACTCTTTTTTGTGACTTTGGGGAGTACCCTAAATAGTACTTTCAGCATCTCCACCTATTAGTTGGGGATAATAATATTTTCATAGGATCAAAATTGTGAGGCTTAAAGAAAGCCTCAGTTGAATCCCTTGAGATATGGGATAGCCAGAGAATATTACTAGTTTTTCAAATGATTGTTCTCACAATGATCACCAAGACAGTATTTAAAAGGGTATTTCTCTGTGATTTCTGTGCAGAGAAAAGCTTTATCAGGTAGCAGGGATATTAACTATGCCTCATTCATCTCCATTGGCCCCTTGGACATTTTGAGGCAAAATGTATAAGCCACTATCCAAATTGATAACATGTGCCTGACTCAAAAAGAATGTCACCAATCGAACCCTTAATACATTGTAGCAGGGCATGATGGAACATTAGTAAAGTACAGAAGTAAAAATTTACAGGAGGAATAAGCATGAGATTGAATAGCCCATCTTATCAATTAGATTTAAAGTAGTTATTAATCTTGGTTGTTAGACTCAGAAACAGGTGAACAAATGAAATCATGCATTCAAAACTATGGACTTGGCACATTAGCTAGAATCACAGTCTCAAGCTAGAAGAGTCTGTAGGGTTCATCTGGTCCAATTCTCTCTTTCACAGATGAGGAAACTGAGTGCTGGATGAGTGAAGAAGCTTGTCCAAAGTAAGACTAGCTAGTTGCAGAGCCTGCCCTTAAACCCAGGTAAAGGCGATCTTATTAATCTAATCAAAAGGATTTAAAGCTGAAAAGAAAAAAAGAGTAAGGAAGAAAACTGCTTGTGTATGCCTGACATGCTAGATTCTATAGAGAAACAATGTAGAAAAAAAGGATTTCTGCAAATACAGCCAGTCATAAATAGCAGACAATGTTTAAGAATGGACCCAGCAAGAAAGCTATCAGCCTTAAGCATCTAGTCAATAAATATTTATAAAGTACATACTATGTTCCAGGCACTGTGCTAAGTGTTGAGGATACAAATATAGAAAAGAAGGATAGTCCTTTACCTCAGTGAGCTTAAAGTTTAATGGGACGACAACACACATAAAAAAAAGCTGAAAAGTACAGAGGATTAGGAAAGGTACCCAACCTGGTGGCATGAAGATGTCCAAAAGACTGCAGCGAGGTGGAACATATTTACTAGTGTACAAAGTGTGGACAATAAGCAAGGTGAGCTAGAGACCCATAAGGGGTGAATTTGATCTCATAGGAATCACTGATATTTGGTGGGATGAGAGCTATACTGGAATACGACTTTGGAAACAGATATATCTAATTTAAAAAAAAATAGAATAAATAGAAAAGGTGTCTCAGTTATTTTCCTAAGCCCTCAAACCCAGGTAAACCCAATTTGAAATTGGGACTGACTTTCTTAGGTATTTCTTGATATGAGGGTATCAGGTATAGACAAATTACCTACTTTTTCTACCTTCTCCCAACTACCACCAGTCATCTCCTCTATCCCCCTAACATACACACTCTATCCAAAAAAACACTGTGTATAAGAACTGGCCCTCACTGGTTTACACTGAGGAATATGATAGGTGTGACCTTCAGTCAAGTTTTCTCCTTTCTGAATAGCCTTATTAATATTTATATTTATGACACCATTTTTGAAGGCAAGCTGTGTAAACCACTGGCATTATGGGCTCAGTCTCAGTGCTTCCTATCACAATATAAATCATTCACCCTGGGCAGTTCACCTAGGAAACTTGCTTTGTCCTTTCCATTCATGTTGCAATTTGATGTTACTGTCGGTCATTCTGTAGGTTG